CAACTCTGTCAGGATATGAGCAAGCTGGGCGAAGTCTTTGATAAACCGACGAAAATAAGAGCACAGGTCTACGAAGCTACGGATATCCTTCACAGACGTTGGTTGCTTGAAGTCTCGGAAAGCACTGATTTTTTGCGGGTCTGGCCGTATACCGTCCCTGTCGACTAGATATCCAAGCACAAAGGCTTGACGCTCACCAAAATGACACTTCTTTGCATTTAAAACGAGACCAGCTTGTTTGATGCAATCTAGAACAACGCTAAGCCGATGGTTGTGCTCGTGGAATGTCTTGCCAAAAATAATTACATCATCGAGATAACACATACATATCTCCCATTTGAGACCGCGAAGGATTGAGTCTATGAATCGCTCGAAAGTAGCTGGGGCATTGCATAAGCCAAACGGCATAACGTTGAATTCAAATAACCCATCAGGCGTGACAAAAGCAGTCTTCTCTTTGTCAGACGGATGCATTGGTATTTGCCAGTATCCAGACCTTAGGTCGACAGACGAAAAGTATGTGGCCGAGTGCAGACAATCAACAGCATCGTCGATGCGTGGTAGCGCATACACGTCTTTCTTTGTGACGGCGTTGAGATGGCGGTAGTCTACACAAAATCGCCAAGAGTTGTCTTTCTTTTTTACCAATATAACAGGAGCTGCCCAGGGACTGCTTGACTCTTGAAAAACGCCTTTCTGCAGCATGTCGTTGACCTGATCGACGATCGCTTGCCTCTCTGACGGGGATACGCGATAGGGTTTCTGGCGTATCGGTGTAGCATCTCCCGTGTTGATGCAGTGGTGCATACGGGATTCGGGCAGCATGGAACAACGCTTGTTTTGAGCAAAATCAAAGACTCCCGCGTAGCGTGTAAGCACCTCCTCGAGGACATTCTTCTCGGAAGAAGGCAACGACTTATTAATCATACGTTTCATCTCGGCTGAGTAGTTGGGCGCAGTCTTACTGCTGGCTGGAGACTCTGAGACCATTCTGACGTCAATTGTAAGCCTGCTCCTCGAACGTTCCCAGTTTGAATCCGACTGGTAGAACAACAGGCTCTGAGGCTGCGTTGAGCGCTCACAAGCAAGCATGTCCATCGATGGCTGTAAGGACAGACCGTGGGACCAGCACATTCTTCTTGATGGCGTTTGCATGATCAGGCTCCACAAGTCCAGTGCACGGTCCTGAGCGGACATTAGAAGAGCATACGGGGTACAAACACTGCTGTCCGACCAGGGATCGTCACATCTTCAGACAACGAAAGCGCATCGATAAGCAGAGTCGGAAAATCGTCAACTATTGCAGCAGGCAACGTACTTTGTAGAAGAATCTCTCCAGTTCCACAGTCAAGCGTAGCGCCGCATTCATGAAGGAGGTCTATCCCTAAAATGACGTCATGAGTTGTGCGAGCCAGTACAGTGAATTCAACTCTGAAATTTTGTCCACCAATCGTGAGTACAACTGAACAAATACCAACAGGGCATAACGCTTCGCCTTCAACTCCACGAAAAGTTTCTTTACGATTCCGCGCGAACATAACTTTGTGACCCAAGAAACAATGTTTGAAACGAAGACTCATAACCGAAACAGCAGCACCTGTGTCTACAAGAGCAAGAGTGTCTACACCGTCTATACACACATGCACTTTGTTCATCAACATCACAGTAAGGAGGAATTGGGGAAACTGATCGTCCCGCGACCGCACCTCCATCGGTCGCACCAGTTAGTTTCCCAGCTGATGCGGAGAAGGTGCCCGACGACGCGGAAACGGAGACCGGCGGGACCGTGTCGGAAGCAGCGTCAGGCTTCGCTCGGAGGCGGGGGACTCGCTGCAAAGTTCATTAGGCCATTGCTACCAGGGACGGTGGTCGGCCGAGTGAGAGGTCCAAGTTTCGTGCATACAAGGCGGGTATGTCGAAAAACGTGGCGGCACAGGCGTTTTGTACATACGAGCCGGATACGTCGAAAAACGTGGTGGTGCAGGCGGCCATCTGGGACAGAAGGGCGAAGTATGCCCTGGGAGACAGCACGTGTAGCAAAAGGGACTTGTCGGCTTACATTAGCAGGAGCAGAGGTGGCAGAAGTACGCGGAGACGGATCGTGCTCCGCAGGAACATTTTGTGATGACGCATAGTAATCTTCTGGTAGAGGCCTGGTTGACGACAGTCGGAGGTCCGCAGCGGCACATCGAGATGATGACATCCGGTGGTGGCCGTGATTCGTCGGGGAAAGCGTAAGCCGCGGGGTAAAATCTGCTGTTTCTGTGTGTGGTCAATTTTCAACGTGGCGCTCTCGCATCCAGTGGGGAGGTGGTTCGGGGCATGCGGCGAACGAGCATTGGTGGTGAACGTCACCTGCTTGAAGTCGTACGAGCTCTTCTCGAACTACCCGACGTACGAGAAAGGGAATGTCTTTGCAGGTGGCGACGTCCATACTTGCAACAGTGGGAACGTTGTCCAAGCGCCCGAACTTGGGTAAAATTCTCCGGGTCTTCAACGCCTCAAATGCGCGACACTGGTGCCGGAAAATAGGAGTGTTCAAGTTTTCTTTCGTTATCAAATATTTGTACACGTCTTCGGCGATGCCTTTTCATAAATGACCGACTTTGTCTTCGTCAGACATATTTGCGTTGACAATCCCGCAGAGCTTCAATATTTCTTCAATGTAGGTTGTGTACGTTTCGCCGGGCAACTGAGCCCTACGTGACAGCGTTTGCTCAGCTTTCTTTTTCATAGAACTCGTGTCCCCAAAGCAGGCCTTCAGTTCCTTAACAAATATATCCCAAGTGGGGAGGACATGTTCATGGTTCTCAAACCAAAGCAAGGCTGTCCCGGCAAGGAAGAATACTACGTTCACGAGCTTCGCCGATGCGCCCCATTCGTAGTAGCGGCTCACTCTGTCGAAGTGTTTTAGCCAAGCGTCCTCGTCTTGGTCAGTTTTACCTGAGAATATTCGTGGCTCAGGTGCCCAGTAGTCTGGTTGTCGAGGTCGACAGCCACCTTGTACCGTGTCGGTCGCACTGGTGGATGCAGCAGCGTAGTACGTCAATGGGATTGCTGTGTCGTCGTTCATGCTGATGTTGTCCGGGGGTAGGCCAGCTAAGCGTCTGCTTCTTTGAAGAACTTTTGCTGCGGGGTCCAGGATGGCAAGTTACCCAGCACCACTCCACCAAAGCTGTTACGGATGTGATGGGTTTATTTACACTGAAAAATGTCAGCGCTCTACCGTCACTGCCGAATCTCCATTGCTCGAGAGCGTCCGATCTCTTCTTTCTCCTCGCTCTTTCAGTCTGCGTTACAACATGTATATTAGCTTTGATTAGATTACTTGGTCATAAGCGTACATACTGCGCGACATTATTACGAAGAGGTGAAAAAAGACATAGCCGCCGATGAAATAGGCAATGAAAGGATGTATACATTTCTGAATCTATCTTCAATTTTTTTTTGTTGTTTTTTTCTGGCGTCCTAGCGTATATGATGCCACATATGCTGGCCCATAGATTGAAGTGCGCTCACAGGCCGTTCGCGACCAGCGAGCATCACCCGCTTGAAGACAACAGTTGCGATCTAGGGCCTTCAATCACAATCGTATATCGATCTAGTAGTCAAGTTCCAAGAGGTTCACCTACGCTAACACACGACCGAGCGAGTTATTTCGACCACATTCGCCTTCACCAAGTCCACAAGAAGCAGGCACGGCTCCACAGACGACTACTACGAAAAAAGAAAAAAAGTAACCCCAAAGTTGTCTCCATGCGTGCGTACGAATGTGTAGTACAAAACGTTTGCATGTGCATGATGCATTTAGCAGGCAACAGTTCAGCGCGTTGTTCACCCAAGGAAGCTTCACGGGAAACATAACGAAAGCGATAAGCAGTAGATTCAAACACTCGCTGCACTCATAATTGCCTCATTTCGCAAGGCGAACAGGCTTTAGAATGTAACGCCATGCGTAATGGCAAGCGAAGGTGCAGTCCTCAAGCGTCCACATTGCGATCCGTCGAGTCCTCGCAAAGATGGGGCCGAGCACGTATTGTACCTTTTCGGCGTCTGGTAGCCGGAAACCTGCCCAAAACCTTTCAGAGAGCTTCCGCGACTGAATTGTCCTGGAAAGCCATCTAACATGAGAAAAACGAACACCAACCGGAAGTGCGTTGCAAGCGGGGACGAAGCAGCCCGAGAAAAACGAGTGCGCTCTGGCTGGCTCTGGCAGCCCGCAAGTAGCCAGAAGGGGAAAAATCGAAGAGCCCCAGTGTGGCGTGAAACTTCTTTACTGCAGCAGGCAGTCCACAGCACCATGACAAAATGGAGCATGTCCGTGCACGTCACAATGAAGAAGCAGACGCCGGAAACGCCACTTGGCCAATCAGGTCCCCAGGTTTTGTCACGTGCCCCAAGCAGCCAATAGAATCGTATGCTGGTGCTTCTCAATGATGCGTTTTTGCTCAATGACCAATGAGCAAGGCGGGCCAGTGGTGGCGGGAAATTGAAGATGAAGAACAATCCTTCCAAACAAGACCAAGATGACCACGATAGCTCGTGTGTAACGGCAATGGTTCGGCGTGGAAAAAGCACCATTTTAGCGTCTATTTGAGCTTATATTCATCTCACAGGGGTGTTATAAATTGATTTTGCACCAGAAATAATGAAGCGAGAAGCTAAAAACTTCTCAGATAAGTGCAAAAATAGTTGCAGATTCCGAAAATGTCAACTTCAAAAAGTAGATTTTTTTCGTGATTTTCGGCCTTTTAAGACTTGTGCTGTTCCTTTTACTGAAAGATGAACAATGTTGCAAAATATAAGCACGAAACCAATTTTGTCAGAAGCACTTGTTTCATTTAAGGAGCAGTTCTGTTTAAGAGATTTCTGTTTACCGAGAGCCTACTGTATTACAATTGAGTGTAGACACTAATTTTTTTTTTTCTCTGGACTGCCCTGCGCTCTTGGGCAATAAATGTCTACTGAAGTTATAACTATTCTACATTTTTTTTATTCAGGATGCAGAAGTATGCTGATGAAATTGCTGGGTTTGAGCGTGAAGTTGCCGAATCATCGTTAGTTGATATAACGGTGAGTCTCATTAGTTATTGACTGCAGAAAGCGCAGTTTTCTCTTATTGGGAAGGATTTTCAGCTTCACCAACGTTCGTTGCTTGCAGGCAAAGGTTACAGAAGTGCAAGTCAAAATACAAGAATGCAACAGGGACATCAGCAGCGTCAGCAACGAGAAGGCTACAGCCGATGACTTCATCAAGGATAAACAGCGTGAAAGCAATGGTAATGGATTTGGGTTGTACTACACCGACCGCTTATAATGTTATAAACAAAACAATCTTTTTCAAAGGTCTCGGTTACACAAAATGGGTTAAGCGTGCAGCCTCGCGTGTCCGAGTCTAGGCATGTGATGCGGAGTGCTTTCACCCATTTCAATTTCCAAATGTTAGAAAATGAACTTCGAAGATCTGCATAGCTAATGAAATGAACACAGTGGAAGGGAGGCACTAACAAAAGCGAACTATCGTGAAAATTTGCCGACTAGCTTTCAGACCGCCTCAATTATGCACAAATCGCTGAAACTGTCGAATTGCGACAAAAATTTTGCTCGCTGAATGGTACCGCAGAGGTAGCAGTTAGGGTATACATGCAGCAAAGCGTTTGCGAGTGTTTTATAGCCATGGTGAAGAAGAACGAAATTGCTGCTCACCAGCGCACAAGAATGGGGAAGCTGAACTCATTTTATCCCGAAACAGTTGTCTGGCTATTAGCGGTTGAGCGCAGGAAGAATGAACAGAAGACCAAATGGGCTGCGGAGACACTGTCGCAAAGGGAGGAACACCTAGCAAAGCGGCATCCCTAGAGGATAGCTCCGGCTACATATATCCCAACATAGCCGATCTAAGCCCCTGCTTAGCTCTCTGTGCCCCTTGTTCACTCCGCTTCCCCACGTAAAGACCTCGTCGCTCGCTCTCCATCACAGAGCACCTCTTTCGAGAAATGCATTCGCTACCACGTTTGTCAATGATTTCCCAGCAGCCGCATTATAACCGCACTTTCATCTTGAGATACTTCACATTAAGCTGTGTATTATACATGGGGTTTTATGGGGGTAAATTGGAGTCGAAAAAGACTGTGCTGTGACCTGTCGTGCACTATAAGTGGTTACATTATAAGTGGTCTGCACTGTATTCTTTCTCTTTCTTTGCTGTTCATACACTTGGTAGTTTTGTATTGTTAGATGTAATCCAACAATAGACAAATGAATTGTAGTTGTTTGTAAAGAGATTAACTATTTCTTAATTGTTACTTAAAGGTGCACTGATGCAAAAGAATTGCACCTTCCTTTGAGGCAAAAGACTTAGATCTTCATCTTTAATGGCTGCAGCGGGAGGTAGGGAAAGAATCGCGTGCAAAGATTTCTGCTGTGAAAATTAAATACTAAGCTTATCACTCAATTGACATACATTCAAGGAATAGATAAAAGCCATTAAGAATGCAAGTGGTACTGTATATCGGAAAATTTTTACTGCATTTTCCCCTTCCAACGTTTTTTTATTGGCCTTTTGAAACATTTACAACCGCATTTTGAGTCCTTTCATGGTTCTCCCAATGCCCAAAAACCTATGTAAGAACCAAAACAACAATGCATCGCATCAACATTTTGTTGCTCTGCAGAATTGCCAAGCCAAAGTACAAGTTTCTTTGGTAGCTAGCATACTTATTGGTGGTAGAGGAAGGGCTCATTTGATTGAGACTTAGTAGGAGCTGTGATGTCATGTTTTCTACCTTGAAATATTTGTTGAAGAACGTTGGGTATTTATGTCCTACCGCAAGCTGGCAAATTGTGTGCATGTGGTGCAATGCGATACCTGTATTTGAATTCATTTGCACTTAAAGGAGAACTCATATCAAATTTACACATGTTAAGGTTTTTGCGTCAACGAGTAGCTGTCGACCCCCTAGTAGCTATTCGCGACCTATAACGCATCTTAGTGACGAATGAGTATCTGTAATATCGATTAATATATTTGCTATCGAACGTGGTTCAAAATGGGTGGAAAGCTCGCCGAATTGTAGTGCTGGCAGCGCTGCCTCGCGGCCACGTCGAGGCCGCTGTACAGCTGATGCTTCTTTCAGAAACAAGTGGTGACTCACACTGGCGTTTTGTCTGCTGGGAGCGCACGTACAGTCAGTCCAGCTGTGTCTCTGAAGGCGTAGACATGCCTCTGTCGCCAATATCGTCGTCCCCGCTATCATCTCGGTCAAAATGGGCAAGTGATGATGACAGCGACCTGGAATTGGGTATCGCCGCAATTCGCGGCAATTTTCGCTTGGCAAGCACCGCGTTAAATGAAATGTATTTATAAGTCCCGGTTGTATTGTCGGAGCTCAAAAACACCAACTACGCACCTCATGTCACAGACGGTTGGCAAGTGAATCGCTGCTTTCAGCTGCAGCAGGGCACACGGTAGGAATAGCCCCGGCCTCGAGATGAGGCTCGTACTGCCAGCGAAACCCAACTGGTTCGCCAACACGGGATTTACCCTGTAGCAGCTCGTTGCAAAGTGAAGGGAGCAAATGCGGCTGTTATTGATAAGGCATCCAGTCCCTCTGTCTGTGCGTACGAAGTCAACCCACTGGCTGCTATGAGGTTCGTGGCTTGGAAAGGCATGAAACGCAACGCACTTTTCACTTTTTCCACACCTCAACGTGCAGGTTCTCACTACGCAGCGGTTGCCCGACCTTCTGGCACACATGGTCGCTCTGAATGATCGTACTCACACGCAGTGGAGCACAACGAAAATCAGTCGATGTGACTCGATGAATCGCACGCACGCTTCAACACAGCAAGGAGAGCCAGTAGTGAGAGCGTTGCTGGGAGTCGGCGGAGTCGGCTCCAAACACACTTGGAGACTGTTGACGTCATCGTTACTAGCGTATCGTCACTCAGGATGGTATTTGTGGAATGTATCACACCGAACACGTGGCACTAGTGTCGATGTCGCAGGGTAGACTATTTTTTGTTTTTTCTCTTTAGCTTTTCTATGCTGTTTGACGTCGAAATACAATAACTTCGATGCGACGGACCCCATTCAAATTTGGCCAAGAACACTTATGCATACCAAGTGATTGAATTATGGGCACATCTCGATCTTGAAATTTGATGTCAGTGCTCCTTTAAATTGGCCTGTAAAGAACTCTGGCAGTACTAGGTTGTGTGGAATGAAACATCATGCCGGAAATCACTCCCTCTGGGTAACCAAGTCTCGGCTCAAAAACCATGTCTCTGTGGAATCTTGGAATTAAATGACTCGTATCTTTCATGATACCTTTTGTCAACTTGCAACTTAGATTTTTTAGATGCGAAGCAGCTCTTTGAGTAGCCTGTGTAACCCTGTCCTTCCATCTGCGCCACGCTCCCCTGATGACTGCAAGTGTTGGGGCGGTGCCCAGTAAGTCACGCTGTTCCTTGCAGCGGGTGCCCATTGATGTCACTCTCTCCCTAGCTTTTCCCCCCTCTCCGCATGTGACACCTGCAAAACTGTCCCTCCCCTCTTTCACCTTGCAAGGTCGTCTGCTAGTAAAAAAACGACTGTTCGCTCTGCACAACTGCTCATTGATCACCCCATATACGTAGGCACTGGATCGCGCATTAGGAATTGAGTCAAGGGCGGCATTCCTTAGCTTTTGCTTGATGAGTGCCACCATCAATGTCGCCGCCAGTGTAAGCATTAGCGACCGCTGCTTCGCATCTATACATAGTTCCCTTTAGTGGGAAATGGTACATTTTTTTTGGGGGGGGGGGGGGGGTGGAGGGGATACGACAGTGAAGATGCCTAGCCTTTGTTATCTTTGTTATATTTTTCCTATGTCTAGAAGGCAGAGTTATAAGGATTGGTCGGACTGATGAAGAGTAACGATTGCTTTTTTTCTCCTACTGTGCCACAGCGGTCGTGCAGGAGATCAAACGGCTCAATGACCTGTCAAACCAAAGATTGGAGTTGCTGAGGTGGCGAAGCCGAGACGCCTACGAAGCAACTATGTGGCTGCAGCAGAATGAGGGCCGCTTCAAAGGGAAGATCTATCCACCCATTATGACTCAGGCAGGAACACCTTTTTTTTGTCGCTTTCACCTTTCTGGTCTGTTGGACCTGGAAGAACAGTATGGTAGCAAGGTTCTTTTCTTGCTTTTTCCTCACTTGTTTTCTTCCAATTCAAATTGTGGTGCTGCAGTTGGGAACTAGTCTTCAACAAACACTGAGCTGTAAGAATTTTTTTTTTATGGAGCCATAATAGCTTAGCTGAGTGCGTTTGATAATCTAAAAGTGGCTCTCACTGAGCCGAGGTACCTTTGTTGACTCCTCTCTTCTCCTGGCCGGGTGCTTCTCCTCACCGTTCGAGGGGGAAGAACAGTTAGCATGCGTACTTGCGAGCCATTGCGAGCAAGCAAACAGGTTAGGTTCATTTTATGAGTAAAATGACCAGACAGAATGCTGACACTGAAGATCGCAGCAAGGCCTTGAGAGGAGAAGGGATTGTTTCTTGAAATTGGTGGCACGCCTCTGATTCGTGGCGCTGCCACGTTTCGCATCGTTCATTGGGACAACATTCCGAACATAATACACACGTTACTTTGAAATGTTAAAAGAATCTCTGATGTGGTTTAGAGGCATATGGTTTAGGCATACAATGCATATGATGTGGTTTAGAGGCTAGGTATTTGTGCATAAAGGAGGCTGTTCATTATTGAGAATGTGTTATGAGAGGTTGCTTCATTTTTTGGACCAATTCAACTCGGAATAATTTTGGTTTCAATGTTTACTTTGAAAATATTTCAACTCTAAACAGTGGACCTTTGATAAAATTGCAGATTGACTTGATGAATGCAAGTGATGCCAAGTATGTAGAGGCACAGATTCCTTTGAGGGACCTGTTGGCATTTGTAGCAGAATACCCAGAAGACCTCAATTCATTTTTGGGAACCATCAGGGACTCTCGGAACCTCAGAGTCAATGGAGTTGTTGTTCCCGCAGAGAGCTTGGACTCCTTCAAGCCACGTAGACCACTTTCCGAGATCAAGTAAGGTCCCATGTGGTACACGTGGTGTTATAAGTAGGGGTTAGCGAATATTTGAACCTCAGAATATTTTTTAGTAGTATTTTACTATTCAATTGAATTCGTACCGTGGTCTTCTTCTACCAAGTATTTGAACTTTTGAAAAATAAATTATTTACAGTAACGAAAAATAAATATAAAGATGAAAAATTGGCATGCGGCAGGTGACATTTTGGGGCACCGATGCCCGAAACTGCTAGCCACGTTCATTGGTGCTCCAAGTGATCGCTGCACGATGAGCTTGGCTGGAAGGTTCGCTTCTGATGCATAAAATGCCCATCCAGGATTCCAAAAAGCTAGCGGGTGATGCGACTCGTTGCTTGTGACTAAGGGCATTGCGGCTTCGCTTTCGCATGGCCACTAGTTCAATGCCCTTGCCTGAGAAGTTCATATTCATTTCATACCTCGGTGCCGTGAGGAGAGTCAAGCCTAGACACGACTGCGAGCAGTAAGCTCCGCCGCGATGTGCGCGGTCAGGGTGCCCAATGTTTCAAAGTGCGTCGTGCTCGTCCGCTAGTGTAACGAGTTGGCCCGCAGTGATCTTCGTTGTGAGGTCTGACGTGCTTATGCAGAAGCTCTGACAGCAGTTCTCACGAGTCCATGCCTAGCCCAAGACATGCGCCTGTGATGTTTGTGACGAGGGCGTAAACTAACGTTAAGTATTTTATAAATGATCATTGGACCGTGAAAATGGTAGGAGTGTGAATTTGTCACAAATCAGCAGAATATTCAACTGCCGTGGCCTTGCAACGTGCAAGCAGCAGGCGACTCTCATTTAGAGCAAAAATCGAACCAATGGCAAGGCGTGCTGGATCAACATGGGTCATGCGGCCAATAGGAGACCTCGAAATGAACATTTGACTTTTGTATGCTTGTTTCTGAATTGAGGACTCTGCCAAAGCGGCAAATGCTAATGTGGACTTCATCATTGTTTGCTTAGTGGGGTGGTTTAACGCACTACTTTCTTTGAAAAAGTGGTGCTCATGTTTACTGTGCATTATTTAGGTGAGGTGGAACGGCCTGTACATATTGTTTTTTTTTCTAAATTTAAGCCTTCTGTTTTATACTGCTCCGACTTTAGTCTTTCATGGTAAAAAATGAATGTTCTTTTTTCCGTAGCCTGATCCATACTTTGGTTTTAGTGCTGCAAAAGTAACATTTTGCTGCTACAAAAATTGCTCTAAATTATATTTTGGCTGTTGCACCACTATATACCTTTGAAACGAATATTTGAATGTAAAGAACTTATTTTCGTATGAGATGCAACATTGTTATAATGAGGTTTCGAGTGTACAAATAATGTCTCTTATGCTTTCCTCGAGCCTAATTGTCTGTAAGTGTCATTAGTTTTGTTTAGCAAAGAAACAAGCTGCTAGAACAGTTCCAGTTTTTTGCAACTTATATAAGTGTGTGCCTAGTTCTGATCGGATAAATGCTGTATTTGTAAGGAAAACAGATTTAAAGAGCGGACTCATGCATTAACCCGTCCATTTCATTTTCTCATTATTTCAGACGCTGTGGCTTTCGAGCGTACATCAAATCGCTCTTCTCCGCCCCTGACGGAGTGATGCGCTACCTGTGCAAGCGGCACCGAGTGCATGACATCCCAGTTGGTGACGCACGTACTGAAGACTGCCTGGAGGAAGTGCGGCGACTTGGGATGCGACGATTCTTTACCGAGGGACAATTTGGTAAGCTATATCTGCTTGTTTTCCTTCAACACTTCTGTTCCAAACTCTGTTTGATATGAATGGACCATAGGGAATGTGTGCCTGGATATTTTAATCCTCTGAGGACGCTGCCCGAGAACGCAGCATAACCGTAGCAATTCGCTGTTGGGCACCGCCCGATAAAGGTGTTTGTGGTTTAAAGTTCGCGGTTTTCTCACTGCAAGTCATGTGCATTTTTTAAATACATGAAGCGCAATCTCTTGAAAGGGCCCTGAAATGCTTTTTTATACAGGCTTATTGCCTCACGAATTCAACGGCGCAAGAATGTTAAGAATTCGTCGAGTATAAGCGGAGTTAAAAAAAATATGTCATACGCTGCAATTGCGTTCTCTCTTTTCTCATCCCGGCGAAAGCGCTGGAGGCTAAGCAGGGAGGGATGGCACGGGCAAAGAAAATACGTCAAGCGCGCCTCATGACTTTGAGCGCTTTTCTCTCTTTTTTTCCTTCGAATGCACGGCTTTTTCCATGTGATTGCGCGCGCATGCGTGGACAAGTCACGACCTCCCGCTACGATCCCTATAACAACCTAGCGCGCCATGTTCAAATCAGCCAATTTTTTAGCGTCTTTCGTCATTTCTCGAGAGAAGAGAAAGCAATTTTCAGCTGACTGATGATTTATTATAAATTCCAGGTTGCGTTTGCGCCATAATATTTGGCTCACGTATTCTTGGGAGCCTTTACTACTGATAGGCAGCGTTCTCTGTCCATGCTCAAAAAGTGTTGCAGGGCCCCTTTAAGGAAGAAGTAAGCTCTGTTTGTTGAGGTTTATATTTTTTGCACTAGGGTGCAGTGCTATGTTCGGAATAGAGCCTAGAGCGTACCCATTTGCATGTGGTTCGCTGAGAAGCATGACCACATTTTCACTGCAGTGTGTTTTACGGTAGCGCTTTTAGCGAAAACGTGGACGACTTTAGTGAGGAAGAGAATTACGTGCCTCCACCAGACAGTGATGACAGTGATTCGACAGAAGTGAGTGATGAAGACGACGATGGAGGCCATGGTTGTTTACTGGAAAACTGCACTAACATCCATGGCCTGCGTTAAGGAGATTGGTTTGAGCAGTATCATACACTGCACAAACATTGGTAAAGGAAGAGTAAGTGTCCTGTGAGTTTTTCTCCCAGTTTGTGTTTTTCCTCGCTGTGCCAAAAAACTGGCAAAATAGTTTCGGACCAGTAGAGCCGGAATGCGGGTAAAAGTTTTGGACCGCAAAGGGTTTTGTTCATATTATTGGGTCCTGGACATAGCCAGTGGAGCTTGTCTTTTCTGTTACAATAAGTAGCTAACAACTCACTTATCGTGCTGGATACCTCGTTTGCTCGTGTGCGTGAAGGCTATTTGGAGACAACTTTATAGCCCCCTGTCACAGTATCAGTTTCTAAAAGCAACGAGTGTGGCGGAACCCAGAATGGCTTTCACAGTTTATATAGGTAGGCTACATGGGCTCACAAAACCGCTTTCACATGAGCTCCTCATTGATAGCTCCTTTTAATGAAGGCTGCCTGGGTGTTGCTAATCCCCTCTGGGATGTTGTAAATATGCGTGACGCTTCCCCCTCCAAAAATCCACTACTGAGGCAAAGATGTCACCCTTTGTACTTTCTGTCATGTTATCTTGCCTTCAAAATTTTGTGTCAGTTCAAGTGAAATCTCGACACAACAAATCACAAGGAACCGCCAAAAATCATTGCTTATTTTGAAATGTCGTTGCTTATTTTGAAATTTTGAAACACTTTTTGAGCATGGTCAGAAAATGCTGCCGATCGGTAGTAGAAGTTGCCGACAACACGCGAGCCAAATATTATAGTGCAGCACGCGGCCTGGAATTCACAATAAATAATCAAAGTCAGCTAAAAATTGCTTTCTATTCTCTTGACAAATCACGGAAAATGCCCTGAAAATCAGCATGTAGCAAGCCATCTATCAGTCATTGGCTTATTTGAACATGGCGCGCTCGCTTCGTTACAGAGATCGTCGACGGGAGGTTGCTATTTGTCCACGCGTGCGCGCGATCACACTGAAAAAGCCGCGCATTCAAGGAAAAAAAAAAACAAGTGCTCAAGGTCACAATGCGCTCGTGACGTTTTTCTGTGGCCCTGTCATCCCTCTCTGCTTAGCTTCCAGCGCTTTCGTCGGGACGAGAGAAGAGAGAATGCAATTGCAGCATGCGGCAAACCTTTGTAACTCCACTCGCACTGGACAGATTCCTAAAATGTTGCAGCGTTGAATTCGTGAGGCAATAAGCTCTTCCAGTGAATGCGTTGCATGGTTACTTGAAAAAGTGTTTAAGGGCCCCTTTAAAAGTTTGCACAGTCATCATAAACGGAAACACATGAGTCTCCTACCTGTGCTGTGTATACATTCGCAACTGTGTTATGCTTCTCAAATAAACGCGAAATAACAAATGCGAAATATTGCGGAATCAGTGCACGTTTTTTTTTAGAAAAAGCGCAATCTGTCCTGATGTGGCCAACTCGACTGCTGAAAGACTAACACTTAAGCGTGCGTATCCTTCTTACGCGCTGCGAAGCGTCAGCATTAAATAATGATTCTTCACATTGATTCAACGCGTGCTGTTTCAACGTCATCTTCGCTTTCGGAGTCGTTTCCGTATCACGACAAATGATATCAGTCATCATCTATCACGTGCATGCGTCGTTGCACTTTGCGTAGTGTTTGAGCGAAGCACGGGTAATTGTCGGCGACTTCATCCTATAGGTAACTCGTGTCGAATTTTTCGGTGTTGTTTGATGATGCTTTGTGCCGCTTCCTGAGAGCTCATCTTGAACGTTCAACCGTGAGTCAAAACGCTAGGGAACAGCCGGGGAACAAGCGCGCATGTTACATGCTGCCGCTATAGCGTCGGCGGCGGGAATGACAGCAGGTTAGTTTGTTTCGTAAGCAAGCAGAAGCAGTGAAGAGATCAGAGATGGTGTGGGTGAACGAAACAACAGATTAATATACTAGTGTGCAGCACCGTACGTAAGCAGGAGCAGTGAAGAGATCAGAGATGTGCGTGGTGAACGTAACGACAGATTAATATACTAGGGTGCAGCACAAGGAAAGGAATACTTCAACGAATTGCAAAAGATGCATAAAAATACAATAACTGAGCATACAAGCAAACAATATTAACATAGGCTTTAAATAACACACAAGGAAATCAACAGTTAAATAATAAATAGCAACTAAGTGCACGAAAGTTCATACGTGTGATGACTGGCAGCATTGGGTCCGCAAGGATCGAATGTGAGAAGTCTCGAAAGTTCTGGCACGGCTGCGATGCCGGCGGCGTTGCAATGCTGATGTTTCCCGGAGCTGGGGCGCTTGACGGTGAACCCAGGCAGGTTGAGCTAACCTGATTTGAAGTTCCGATGTCTACGTGGCGAACGCTGATTACGTGTCTCAACTAGATGAACGGCTAAGTCCAGGTAGCCAGCCGATATACAAAGCCACACTAAAAACTTTTAGAAGAGATACTTGATGATCTACTTCTACACCATGTTGTATGAGCAACTAGACTAATTAGCAGGGTGATATTGTACACTTCAATCCCCTTCCTGCCCCACTTCCTCTTCTTGAGGGAAACCGCAGGTTGCGGGATCGAATTCCGAATGTGGTAGCTGCATTTTCAATGGAGGTGAAAATGCTGTAGGCCCCTGTTCTCATACTTGGGTGCACTTTATAGAACCCCAGGTGGTCGAAATTACTGGAGCTCTCCACTACTGCGTCTCTCGTAATCATATGGTAGTTTTGGGACGTTAAACCCTACATATCAATCATTCTTGGAGGAAAAGAGGACTGCATGACATTCGTCAAAACTCCGCCCAAAAGATACATTCCAACCACGCTCATTTGCAAAAGCGGGGCATGTTCTTAACAGGGCGAGGGGGCAAACTTGTGAGGCGATCGCTTACATCTTGCCGGCATGCTACTTCTATCGTGGGAAGGGACGCTTACCTTGGTTATCAGCCAGTGCAGTCGGTGGCCCATACCTTAATTCGGGAAATTCGGCGGCTTCCTCTTGTTGCCACTGACACAAAGGATTAATCCTCAGCTGTGTACGTCCAAGGGGAACACCCTTGCCAGGCCTTGGTGGCTCAAAACGAAACTCTTTCGATGTCCAAGCGGTGTCGTGGTTAGATGTTGTTCTGAAGCATTCGGTATTCTGAAATTTGAAGTAGTAGTGAAATGATTTCACCCTAAAGCAATGGACATTTGGAGGGGGATTTCTGAAAAATTAGTTAATCTGAAAAAATTGTTATGCTGAGGTCTGCTATTACGAGATTTGACTTTACCTAATTAATTTGACACCGGATAATCTTTTTTCTCTGTGTCGCATGGATGATGCCAAAAAACATGTATCGTTTGCATAATAGGGTATTTTATTTGCACATTGTAATAATGAGCCTGTTTTAGTAGGCATCACCACAACACAGCCATGCATTTGGTATAGGTAGTAGTGGAGAGAGGTGAAGTTGTTAAGTGAAGCATACTACAGGCAGCTGTTGCATGTGTGTTTAAGGTGACCCTGACTAGTTTGTTATTGGAAAAAGCCATGCTTTCAAGATTTGGAAAAGCCATCTTATTCCTAGTACTCATTCCACAAGAAGGTGGGAATGAAAAACGCATAATGGGGGAAATTTTATGATTTAGATGCGACCTTATACAGTCGATTCAAACTCAAAGGGACCTCTGAATTTTGTTTGAATTATCAAGAAGTTCAAATATCAGAAGTTCTCAGATAGATGACTCCGGGTGAGGTGACACCTCACAATTGTGATTAGGCATTGATTTTATCACATTTAAAAAATTTTGAAGTGTTTTTAAACCTTAACTGCGCTCCATGAGGAGAAAGTAGAGGTGTAAGGTCCTCAAATTTAGCAGCCATTCAATGCTGATCAGACCTTTTAAAGAAACCATGACTTGCCAGCTGCTTCTCTGCTATAGGTATGTGCCTTTAGCACAAAGCACTCTAT